AACAACGATATATAAAAAAGGAGATAGAAACAAATGCGAGAACCACCGAGGAATTGCAGTAACAAACACACTGAGCAGAGTTTATGGAAAACTCATAAAAGCCAGAATAGAGAACGAGTTCAAAGATAGTGAGGCAGAAGAACAGGCCGGTTTTAGAGCAGGGAGATCAACTGTAGACTATTTATTTAGTTTGACCCAGGTAATAGGAAAGAAACTAGCGTATAACCAAGAACTCCATTTACTCTTTGTAGATCTAAAGAAAGCATATGACAATGTTCCGCTGAAAAAGCTCTGGGAAGCACTGGAAAAAACCAATATTAATTTAGAACTAATAAAGGCAGTAAAAACCCTCTATAGTGATGCAAAGACCAAGATTAAACAGGGAAACATGATCAGTAAAGGCTTTATAGCAACTAGAGGACTTAAACAGGGATGTTGCATATCACCAACGCTTTTTAAAATATACTTAGAGCAAGCGCTTAAGGGGTGGAAAAACAAATGCAGACACATGGGAATACCGCTCAATGAATACAATTTATATACTTTGGGCTTTGCAGATGATCAAGTAGTAATTGCACAGGACTATGATGACCTAGAGTACATGACACGAAAACTGATAGAGGAATACGAGAAATGGGGTTTGGAAGTAAATCTAACTAAAACAGAATATATGACTATAGGAGGTGAACAGCAAACTCTGAAATTGAATAACGGACAAGAAATAAAACAATGTACTGAATACAAATATTTGGGCATGAAAATCTCACGTGAGGGAATCCTAGACGAAGCAATTAAAGACCGGAATATACAGGAACGCAAGGCGATATCCCTACTAAATGGTGTACTGTGGGACCAAAATATCAACAAAGCTAACAAAACTAGAATATACAACACCATAGTCAAAAGCATAGTCACGTATAGTTCAGAAGTCTGGCCACTAAAGATCAGAACCGCAAAAATTCTGGAAGCAACTGAAATGGACTTTTGGAGGAGATCGGCAGGCAGGTCAAAAATGGAGAGGATAACAAATCTGAGAATTAGGGAGATTATGGACGTAAAACACACAATAATAGATGATATAAAGGACAAACAGCTGATTTGGTTCGGACATGTACAAAGAATGGCAGATACAAGGATACCCAAGCAAATTATCGAGTGGAAGCCAGGGGGAAGAAGAAGACGCGGCAGACCGAGAAGAAGCTGGAGAAGTGGAGTAGACGAACGACATATTATTTTTAGAGGGTGGACATTGGTCAGGACAGAAATTAATTTTTTTTATATAACTTTATTTGTTTTGCTGGATTCTTTGTAAGTAAACTCTTTTGTGTATAGGTATGTACTGGAGCATTTAATACATGTCCCAAGATTGAAGTCTCGCTCTATCATTATTCAACTTTATATACACCATACACCGGTAAATTATTGTGGGACTGTGACTGTGGCTCAAAATTCAAATACCAGTAGGTACAGGCCCCGCAACATAAGTTGGCGAAAAAGCAATTGACCATATTAGTTAGGTTAAGAAAAATCGGGCGCGAAATTTAAAATGGGTTCCTAAACACATTTCAACAAATTTGACAGCAATGTATTTCTTATGGGGGATTCAAAAGAGTGATTTTCAGATGGGAATATCTTGGGTTCTGGGCATTTCTTAGTATTGGAACCTATTGTACATCAAACTTTGAACATATTTCTCTATAATTCATGCTCTAATTGTTTTTTTAGACCTATGAATTAAAAATACAAATGATTTTAATTAAAAGTGTCTGTTTTCGGTGGACGTACGTCGAGTCTAAAACCAGCTGAGAGAAAGTGAGGTTGTGTTATGATTGTTGGTGAATTGTTTATTTATTTATTTATCACTAGTTCAGTCATTTATTTTTCGATTTTTTTGGATTATTGAAGTACATTTACTAACCAAGTATGTAGGTGAACTTTTATTTTATTATAATTAGGTAGGGGAGACTGTTGTATACTGGGACAATATTTTTCTAATTGAAATAAAAAAATTGTTGAATAATTTTTAACTATTGTGAATATTCTAATATATTTAAAAGTAGTTTGTTTATTAACAATTATAAAAATTTCTATAACTTTTACACTTTAACATAGAAAAAATTGAATGTCCCACTATACACCACTTTCCCACTATGCAACCACCCCATGTTGCATACTGGGAACGATGCATGTGTATAGTGGGACAATGTTTTTTGATCCCAAATAAGTAAATATAAAAAGAAAATTCGGTCGCTTATTCACAAAATTATAGAACTTCAACATAAATTAGGTAGGTAGCCAAACTTATTTCGAATTCGAAAAAGTTTGAACCATTCTTCTATACGGCGATTTCATTTTCCGTCCATGTTTTTGGATTTATTTTAATTTGCGAAGGCAAATCTATAAGCCAACATTCTAGTTTTTCTGCTAGTTAAACCGTAGCACCTTTGAGAAGAAGTAACTGGATATTTGCTAAGCATTGGCTTTTCATCGTCACTGAAAATCTGCTTGACACCCAATGACACCATGTTGCCTTTGAAATTTAATTCCTGCGTGTTTGCTTCATTTATTTTGTGCTTCTTTCTATGCAAGGCTGATTTGCTAACTCCAAATTGAACTACAGCAGTCCTAATATTGGTTTCATTTTTAAGAACAGCATCTACCGCCGAGTCCCTCCCCAGCATTCTCAAGGTGAATTTTTCGACTCTCAAAAAACGATTTCTTGTTTTTCCGGCCCCTATTCTTATCAATTTCTGGAAGAAAGGAGGTATTGAAACTAGGTAAAATACAAAAGTGTTCCATTATAGAGCATATAAAATGTTTGTCCCAATATGGAACCCGGAAATTCTGTCCCAGTATACACTGTCCCACAATACAACCTTATACGTTTTTTGAAATTTTCTGAATTTGAGAAAATATAAACAAATACTAGCAAAAAATAACCTTAATTCACCTTCAAGACACCTTCTGGCATAATTATCCTCAAATTCAGGACAAACTATTGGATATTACTGGCATAAACTTTGCCCAACACGTGGTCGTAAAAAAAAACTTTGTCACTTTAATGCTTACACTAACGAAAATCCCGCCATATTTAAGACTCTAACGGCCAATGCCAAGGTTATATCTAATGCTCATATATAAAGCAGTTGACACATTTTTTTTCGGAATTTTAAGCGATACCGGTGGCGGACAATTTGAATTGTCCCACTAAGGAACCTGTCCCACTATACAACAGTTTCCCCTACTCATATATACTTATGAATCAAGCAAGGACATACGTATTTTATACAAACATCGGCTTCTTAAATTGGTAATATTTTTATTTTAACAATGTTTATTCAACTTTCAATCACTCTCTCAGTTAATTAACATATTAAAAAAACTATTTATACAATTCAATTCCGTAACAAACGTTCTATCACGACTACAGACGCTTTTAAAATTGAGTCCCCATAAGACATCAATGTATTAATTTTAGAACTAGGAACCCGCGCCAATTTGCGATTCTAACCTAACTAATATCATCAATTTGCGCAGTAGACAAAATTCGGAAATGTTAGGGGCGTAGGTACAATATGATAATTTATTGTAATGTGTATTTTACAGCAATAGACTTTTTCTATTTGGAAATCCATCATATTTAACCAAACTCGGAAAACTACAAGAATCTGCAATTTCCATCTCAAGAATGAAATATGGAACTATCAATATGTGTGGATCTTTTCTACCTGGAGACTAATTTGCATCGGCTTATTCAAAGAAGAAAAATGGTATAATGTATATAAGTAGGTAGGAATCAGTGCAATAGCTTTTAACAATATCCATATTTTGTATATACATATCATGAAGATGTGCCTATATCAGAAAACATTTTTTCAAAACTTTTTTTGTATCTTTGATAGTCATTATAATAGTAAACTTAAAATGACGGAATTTAGAATTGGAATTGCAAACATTAATAGTAAAGATAGAGAGAGAAAAAATTGTCCAGGCTTTTATTAACGAGTTTAAGTTATCAATAAAAGACTTTTTCAATGCCAGAAACAAACAGAATGTATCCTATTCCCAACTTTGTAAATTATTAAAACTAAAACATACTTTGAACAATCGTCTTAAAATAAATTATCTAGCAAAAAAGTATTTTAAAGCAAAATTATCTGAAAAAGACTTTAAAATGAATATTTCTACACCAAATTGAGCACAATCAAACACAATCTATAGTTTCCCCTAACTCTTCTTTTCACGAACTGTTTATTTCCTTAGGCCTCCTGTTGAAAAAATCAATCAAAATTCACCTGCATTTTCCAATTGCTTGTCAATTGATTGTCTTGGATATTAAAAAGCTACTCCAACCGACTGCTTTCAAGAAAACAAAAACATTAATCCCAATTATTGTAATAAAACAGCGTCTTTTTCTAATAATTCATCTTTTATAGATTTTAATGAATCTACTGCAGAATTGCGATGTGAAACTCCACATCACTGCCTATTACTGCTGAAGACGAAAATAGTTCAACAAAGAATATTACTCCAGAAAATGTAGAATTTCCCAAAATTTTTTCCAATTTGCCGAAAAATAATGATTATTGTAAACCACTACAAAAAAATGCGCACAATAGTCCTTTTCTGCGCCAATATCTCAATTTAAGGATTGTATTTTTTTTGAGGGCACATTTGAAATTTCCAATTCAATTTGGACAATAATATTTCAGAATAACAAGCTCAACCGACACTATTATCCTTTTTATTTCAAGCATCAGATAGGACAATTTGTTAATAATATTTGCCTTTTTATATTTAAAGGGGTTAAATATGCATCGAACAAGAAAATTAAAATATATGCCGTATGCAAACATAATAATTATGGTTGCAAAAAATTTAAAATTGATGTTGATTTGAAAACGTCTGTGGTTGTTCACAGTTCATCTATAAATTACTGTCACAAATCAAAATTAACATCTTACGTTAAAGGTTTAGAAAGAAAAATTACGAAAAACAACATGCTCAATAAAATGCCGTTGAATGTAAAAAAAGAGGGCAGACTAAAATCGGAAAAATCTTTAATAATAGAAGGCAATTTGCAGGAAATAAAATCAGACACGACATTTAGAAAAATAAAGTCCGAAGCAATGGCACATTTCGATCGCGACAAGGACGACTTGTTTGATATGTTCAAAATGCAGAAAGATCACCCAGAATACATAAAAGAGGTGTCGGTGCCATTTTGTGTGCAAATCTACAGTAAGGAACAATTAGAATTATTATGTTGGCAAAAAAAAGCAGTAAACTTTGTGGTGCTACATTTTGATGCAACTGTAGTAAGAAAACCAAATGATTTATCAAAAAGGGTACCTACCTATACTTTATTTTTTCCCAAGATAGATTTTGACATTGAAAACTTTGAAACATAAACAATAACGCTTGACCCTGATTGGTCGCAAAATGAGGTGTTTCTGCAGGTTGACATCAGTTTTACAATAGCGGCCAATAAGTGGCATTAGCTGCATTGTTTATGTTTCAAAGTTGACAATGTCAAAATCTATCTTGGAAAAAAACAAAGTATAATTAATTTAGCTCTTCCACCATACTTTATTTGAAGTAAAAAAAAATTACGCTGTTCCATGACGCAGGTGAAAAATCATTTACCGCTTAATTCTTGAGAACCTACATGGGAAATACCTAGACCCGAAGAGGTATCCGATGAAGTCATTTCTTTTTATATACCTACGACGTTGTAATAGTACTAAATGAATACTATATTAATTATCATTCAGATTTTAATTTACACTCCTGGATTTTTTTAAGTAAAAAATAAAACGGTCATCAAAAAAATACACATTGCGATTTTTGCTATATCATTGAAGTTGATGAGGTCTAGTTCGAGAAGTATTTTCTATCGAATTTCACAAAATTTTCAGATATTGAAGCTTGTCTTATTGTAAATATATAAGCATGTTGCATTGAAATGATCTAATAAGGTTCGAGCATCGGAGGACCAATAAAGTATGCTTGATTGATTGCACAAGGAGTCTTCAGAAAATGTACGTGCTTTATTAACTTTTTACAATAGTATATTGTGTATTTAGGTGGAGAATGTGCTTTTCCACCGAAATACACATACTTTTTTCTCTGCGATCGGTTAAATATCTGTTAAATGTTTGTCCTTTTCTTCAAATTATTCAGCAGTACGAGAATCACTTTCCCGGCCTAGGCCGGAAAAGTGTTTCCGGTATTGTTATTCATTGATTCCTTAGCAACTATTGAAACATAATTAAAATACCAGAATATTGAGTTTTGCGACCTGTCAACCGGTCAAAAATGGTGACATTTCTTGTCAATCGCAGAAAAAAATATTATTAATTATTTAATAGTCTTTTCTTTTGTCTGGTTGGTTTTCTAGCCACCAATCGTCCATGGATATCTTCTCTCTATTTTGTTTAAGGTAGTCCAGGTACCCCAGGTACCATCAGGTACCTACCTAATAGGTAATTACACTCTGTCATTTCAAGGTTGAGGTGCAATCACTAGGTGCAACAAACATAGCCAATCATAAATTTGATTGAACAAAGCATATTATTATTATTTATTATTATCTAAATTGATTGAGAAAGTCAAGTCAAGTCAAGTCAAAGTCAAAAATAGCTTTATTCGCATCTAACATAAATGTTGTGAAACTTAACCTAAGAGATCGGTAAAAAATTCGTCCAAGGTGTAATATGCCTTTGTTAGCAATAGCCTCTTAACTGACCTTCTAAATCTCCTCGCACATCGTTGCCGTCTCAAACACAAAGGAAGATGATTGAACATTTTTTTGCCATTGTAAATAATGGACTTTTTCACCTGATCGGACTTAGGAATCGGCAAAGGCAACATGAAAGTCTGACGAGTACTGTAAGTCTGAGGCAAGAACAGCTCTTCTCTAAACTTTTTGCGCACAAGGCATACCGTTTCCATAATGAAAATGCAGTACAATGTTAGAACCGAGTGGCGCACAAACAAAGGGCGACAAGTGTCTCTCCTTCTGGCAGAGCACATGGACCGAAGCGCTCTCTTTTGTAGCACAAATACAGTATGGAACAGGCTCGCCGAACAGCATCCCCAGAATGAGATCCCATATCGAAGGTGTGATTCAATCAAGGAAAAATATGTCTGACGAGACACTGAAAGTCCCAGGTTGCAAGAAATTACTCTGAATGTAGTATACAGAATCGTCTTCATATGTAGTATACAGGGTGGCTGAAACCAGTGGTGCAAATGGAAGTGTCTTTAGGCCTTTTTGATTAAAGTCTTATTGGCAATGACATAACTTTAATTTAGGAAACTGTTTAGTTAGGGAGACGACCGCATTTTTCCTACCCCGATCGAGTTATGTGTCGACACTATTGTCAATATATAGTATTATGTGCATCTATTAACCGGTATTCCTGCCTGAGAGCAAATGCGGCCGGAAATATCTTTTTTCTGAGATGACAAGAAATGTCCGCATTTTTGACCAGTTGACAAGTCGCAAAACCCAATATTCTGTTATTTTAATTATGTTTCAATAGTTGCTAAGGAATCAATGAATAACAATACGAGAGTCACTTTTCCGGCCTAGGCCGGGAAAGTGATTCTCGTACTGCTGAACAATTGGAACAAAAATACAAACGTTTAACAGATATTTAACCGATCTCAGAAAAAATAGTATGTGTATTTCGGTGAAAAAGCACATTCTCGGCCTTAGGGGTTTGCCAGCCTCGGCTACGCCTCGCCCGTCAACTTACACCGGCGGCCGAGAATGTGTCACTTTTCCACCTAAATACACAATATACTATTAACAAATTATTAACAAATTGAAAAAAACGTAACACTACCCCCATCGAGTTATGCCCTAATGGCCATTTCCACCAAACTATAACAAAGCTTTGCGTAACTATGAAGCCCTTAAAAGTTAAGGGACACTCAAATATAATTTCGTTCCACCATAGTTTTTAAGTGCAAGCTTAGCTAAGTGTCGTACAGCTTTGACAACATTGCATTTCAGGTGAAAAATTTGTGTAGTTTTCGTTTTTACACCAGTCGTGTCAATGTTATCTGTCATTCGATGCTTCCCGCTATTTTTTTGTAAGATTATAATAATATAATTACTAATAAGTAATATTATTGATAGTTGTTGTTGTTGTCCGGGTTCGGTTTATTTCACAGAGAAGTAGTTTAGATATTGGTAGTTTATCCTGCATTGTGTGTGAACGAGCACGAAGGTGCCTAGAGCAGCGTGGAGTCGGGGAATAGAAACAAACAGGGAGAGTTTATTCAAAAAAAGCCGGACATCAAACTATACAATAAAGGAAAAAGTGCTGCTAATATCGCTAACATCAAAAAATAAGAAAAATCGAATCGAAAATAAAAAAACACGGAGTATCTCTAGCCGAAAAAAATAGGCTTTGGGAGAAAAAAAAAAACGCAGAAATTAGAAAATTGAGAAAACTTTAATTTTATCTCAATTCAATTTCAACATTTGTTATGTCAACAAAAACATATTATGCAAATGGCTTGCGCTTATCATCGCCACTTTGTTGAGGGAGGAATAAGCCTAGAAATTTCTGGGCTTAGTTAAGCTTATCTTAATGAGACTAGGTTAGACTGGTGGAAAAAAAAATACAATTTAAGCGGCACTTAACGTTAAGTAAACTTAAATTTGCGTTGGTGGAAACGGCCATAAGTAGAGTATCAGATTGAAGGTCTCGATGTCCCCTATCCAAAAAGTCGATCCTGCCTCGTGAGAGCTTGCCGGAAAAGGGTGGCAGGGCAGCTTATTGGGGCAAGGGCCCGCTTTGACACCTATCAAGTTTTGCGCTAAATGATGTGTCAAATTAAAGGTGTCAATAAGTTGATTTTTAAGGTCTCTTCGCACAAAAATCCCAAACCAGAAGGAGTGAATTTCATTGTCTGAAACTAGTTTCCTGGCTGTTCCCAACCAATGAAATTCGCTCTGACTGGTTTGTGATTTCCGTGCGATTAAGGTCTGTTCGCACAGAAATCACAAACCAGTCAGAGCGAATTTCATTGGTTGGGAACAGCCAGGAAATTAGTTTCAGACAATGAAATTCACTCCTTCTGGTTTGGGATTTTTGTGCGAAGAGACCTTAAATCAACTTATTGACACCTTTAATTTGACACATCATTTAGTGCAAAGCTTGATAGGTGTCAAAGCAGAAACCGCGGGCCCTTGCTCCAATAAGCTGTCCTGCCACCCTTTTCCGACAAGTTCTTACGAGGCAGGATCGACTTTTTTAGATAGGGGACATCGAGACCTTCAATCCGATACCCCACTTAGGGCATAACTCGATGGGGGTAGTGTTACGTTTTTTTCAATTTGTTAATAATTTGTTAAAAGATATTTTCGGCAGCATTTGCTCTCAGGCAGGAATACAGGTTAATAGATGCACATAATACTATATATTGATAATAGTGTCGACACATAACTCGATCGGGGTAGGAAAAATGCGGTCGTCTCCTTCTCCTAGACCAGTTATTTTTGGAAAAATCTTCAATATCTGAAAATTTGTTATTCTCCATAAGGCTGTGAATTAGTTTTGAGATCGTTTGTTACTTTCTAAATAAATTTAAAAAAAAAATCTCAAAATGTCAGATAGATATCTATGTATACAGGGTGTCCCACGGTGGATGGCGTATCAGACGTTAATGAAAAACTAAAAAGCGGATCATTTTGAAAATTTGGCAACTGGGATAAACGAAAACGACCATAATCTACACTTTAAAAATATTTTTGTTTATGCGGTGCTTCCGCTTATACTCTAAACTAGTGGCAACATCGCTATTTTTAATGGAACACCCTGTATGTGATTGCATATTTGGATTCTACGTTAAATTCTGAGCAGATTTTATGTGATATACCCTATACCTAAGTTCAACTGTTTTGGAAATATTGACAGTTGAAAATTGACTTTTAGCAATTTTGACAGGCTGTAAAATCTAAACGGGTAATTTTAGAGGAAAACCGATTTTACATTCCTATCTTAGATTTTTATAAACTATCATTTGACACCAACTTTGAACTTAACCGTGGATTAAATTTAACTGGAATTTTTAATCATAGATTTAATTCAAAGTTGGTGTCAAATGATTGTTTATAAAAATCTAAGATAGGAATGTGAAATCGGTTTTCCTCTAAAATTAACCGTTCAGGTTTTACAGCCTGTCAAAGTTGCAAAAAGTCAATTTTCAACTGTCAATATTTCCAAAACAGCTGAACTTAGGTATAGGGTACATCACATGAAATCTGCTCAGAATTTTACGTAGAATCCAAATATGCAATCACATACAGGGTGTTCCTTTTAAAATAGCGATGTTGCCACTAGTTTAGAGTAGAAGCGGCAACACCGCATAGTCAAAAATATTTTTAAAGTGTAGATCATGGTCGTTTATACCGGTTGCCAAATTTTCAAAATAATCCGCTTTTTAGTTCTCCATAAACGTCTAATACGCCAGCCACCGTGGGACACCCTGTATAAATATTTGTATTGAATTTTTTGATGTTCTGAAACAAAATGCAAATGCCTATTTCACGCATCCAGTCATTAGTGCAAAAAATTAATAGATTACATAACTAAAGCAAATATTAATAACATAATTAAATCATTTCTCGAAATAGACTTTTAAAAAAAAAACGTGTTCTGAGTAGCTGATTGTTTATATGTATAGACCTCACCTCGTACCATCTAAGAACATCACTTAAGTATTCGAAAAAAAAACCTCTTATTTAGTTTTAAGAATCATCAAACAAAACAAGAATAATTAGCTTCAAGTGCTAGCGTTGAAAAAATTGCCGCTATATAAGAGGCATACTGGGACTGGATTAATCAGTATGAAAAAATATGGCATCTATGTTAAAGGTATTTACTATAACAGTGCTTATTGGAATTGTTTGGGGTTCTCCCATAGAAGATGTCAAAAGTGTGAGAGAAGTTCAACATGACAAACAATTGCAATCATCAGTTGAAAAGGTAAAAGTTAAGATAAAATTTATAGGTACCATATTTTTTATTTGCAAAACTAAACTATACCTACACAGGTATCTAAGTTTTTATTTAATTGAATTTTTTATTCAACATAAACTATAAAACGATTACATTTTGTCTGAGGATTAATTTAAACACCTCAATGTGTAAACTTTACAACCAATATGGAGTAAATGTGATATTTTCAACCTAGGATTAGATAAGTTCAAATAGGAAAGTTAATGAAATTTAGATGTGAGAGATATTAAAAAAATCATGACCAATGTATAAAATAAAGGTGCTACAGTGCTACCACGCCACAAGTCTGTGGCTATCTAGTATACTTACACTTACTAGATACTCTATACCTAATTGAATGTGAATCTGTTGGGTTTGTTTATTATAAATAAATAAAACAGGTCAAAATGAATGAAACTTTCATGGTTTTTCTCTTCAAAAAATAAAATCTTTCAATTTGAAACAAAATTTATTTTTGGACAACTTAAAGTTGGCTTATAGTGCCTACCTATTACTGGGTAGGTACATACTGAATCGAATTTAGAAAGGATAAGCGAAGCGTTGTTTATTTTTTATTCGATGATAGACGATTTTCAAAATTTCAGTATTTGTCTTTGGTTTTCCAATAATACTAGCCTTAAGCCGGTTTTCCACTAAACGGACTGTCGAGTTTGTATTTTGTCTATGTTTACTTATTCTTCTCTGAAAAACAATAACGAAACTGAAACAAACCCAAAACTCTTGTTTCCATCAAGCGGACTACGTTTTGTTTTTTTTTTTTTAAATATAATTTCTTCTTTCACGTTGGTATTGTGAAATCATGACAATCATGTTTCTGATTTTTCTAGCAATTTCCATCTAGTTGGTTTCAAAACAAATTTCCTATCTATACCAATTATCACCTATCGATATGGTAAAAAAACCGTATACAGACTACAGACTATAAAAATGAAATCACGTCTAAAAAAAACCCGAACAAATCACAACAAGACCGTGTTTGAATAAAAAATTGACTAAACAGACTGGTGTTTCAAAACACGTCGAAACCCTTTGATGTTTACCGCTTCCGAGCGCGGAACCCGGAAAAACAAAACTCCAACTGTCGCAAAACACGCTAGTCTTCAAAATGTTTGCGAAAAGTTTGAGTTTTGTTTTATTCGACACGAGTTTGTGTTTTGTTCTGTCCATTTGGTGGAAAACAGGCATAAAACGTCGCTCAGTGAAGTTCTACTCCACTAAGGCCCGGTTTATTGATCTTCAGATAAATTCATCGTTCTATTGGTCGGCGGATAACTGGTGATCAATGGGATTACCGATTGCGTTTTTATCCGTCAGATTACATAGGTACCTGACAGTTTATTAGAAGGTGAATAAACCGGCCCTGAATGCAATAATAAATTTTCCCACTTTCATTAAAAACTCAAAAATGTCTTTTTTTGAACAGCTGCTAACTGAATCATTTTGGTTTTCATTTTTTCAGATCCAAATCTACGATTTATCATTGAGAGATAAAAGATCACCGACTCCTTGGGGAGGCCGTGGGGGTGGAGGAGGGTTTGGAGGCGGTGGAGGTTTTGGAGGTGGTGGAGGCCGCGGAGGCGGGGGTGGTTTTGGCGGTGGTGGAGGCTGGGGAGGCGGTGGTGGATTCGGAGGAGGCTTTGGAGGTAAGCAATATTTATTACGTAGTAAGTAGTATGTAATACGTACTGATTTGCCTACATGAATGTTTTTTTCCAGGAGGCCATGGGGGTGGCAGAGGAGGACACGGTGGGCATCATAAGCTGTGTGGCGGTTGTGGAAAGTGAAAGGATATCAATTAATCATGAGGATTTCTATGAGATCCACAATAGTTCTTACTTATTTTATTGAATTTTGAATGTACATTTTGAAGAAAATGCTAACAAATTTTTAGAGTACAAGCTATACCCTCCCAGCATTTTATTTTTAGAAAAAATAAATACATATATATATTTATATTTTTTTTTATAAAACTTTAGTGGAGAGTCGCCTAATATTGGATACTTTTTTTTAAACTGGAAAATTATATTAAAAAAAAATCCCTACATTTGTGCTAGTTTAATGGAGTTATAGCATAACTATATAATATAATATATACTCCTGGACAAAATTATCGAACCACTGCACATAAGCATCACCATAAGCAGTGGTGCGATAATTTTGTCCAGGAGTAAAATATGGTCGGCAAAAGAATAAAAAAATATTTTAGAAAGTAATTAAGTATTTTTGAAAAAAATCTGATTTTGTCCATTTAGATAGGGTATCCAATATTAGAAAATCATTTTTTTATTCAAATGCTATTTCAAAACTTTATAACTCTAGTCATATTTGCTTCATATCATTGCTGTCTTCTCTTAGTAGCCATTGCTGTAAACAATATATTATTGCAATTGACCTCAAAGCATTACTTAATATCGGATATCCAATATTGGGAACCTGCAGCCAGTGGCGTAGCAAGGACCTCATGGGCCCGAGCGCAAACTTTTTCATAGCCCCCCCCCCCCTCCCCACCAAAAAAAGTTATTTACATTCCAAGCTGCGAAAGCGTACTTTTAGGTGCGAGGTGTATTCAAATAGCCGAGGCGAAGCGAAGCGCGTGTAATGTATTAAACTTTTCATTCTTCCCCCGATTTTATATAAAACACACAATTTACAGATGCTGAAAATTCTCTGGGCCTAAAGCAATGTATTACCATAACAATACTGCAGTGGCGGCTATTCAGGTGTATTAGGTGAAGTGCCACTTCACAAAAAAAAAATATATGTATAACTAATATTCAGTTTTTCTAGCCGCCACTGAAAAAAAAAAGTAAAATGACAACTTTTGACGAACGTGTGTTTCAGTGTTTCAACGTTAACGTTACTTTGGTAACATGACAACAAAAAACATATTTTGACAGTTTCCAAATAAGTAATATTCACAGAACGTATTTGTTTTCAATATAAAGTTGATGAGTACCTACCTACGTCTCTTGTAGTTCAATATTTGGCTAAAATTTAGTTGAAAATGAATTCCATTGAAGAGGCAGCAATTATCGCGTGCAAAAGTTTGTTAGCAGACAAATCCAAAGACCGTTACAATCAAGCCTATGAAAATTTTATCAAATGGTTTACAACGAAAGATGTGTCCACAATAACGGAAGATGTTTTATTGGTATTTTTCTCAGAAAAATCAAAGACATTGTCTCCGGCTACATTATGGTCAGAATAATCAATGTTAAAATTGACTATTTCATCAAATAAGAATCAGGATATTCCGAAATTTGGTATTCATAAAAAGAAAAAATGACGGATATCAACCTCAAAAATCTCAGGTATTTACAAAGGATGATGTATCAAAGTTTTTGTTAGAAGCTCCTGATGAGATGAAATATATTCAATGAAAAAAGTGGTAGCGATTTTTGGAGTAGCTGGGGCATGGGGCATGCCGTACTGACGAGTTACAATCTAAAAGTGAACGACGTGGAGTACAAAAATTGCATTATGTTAGTGCAGCTTCTCACTACAAAAAATAAGGTGCAAAGAAGATTTGTAGTAAAAGAAGATTGGGTAACATTTGTTAATCGTTATATGAAATTCCGACCAGAAAACGCTCAAGAGCAACGCTTCTTTTATCGGTATGAGCGCGGCAGATGTGTAAATCAGGTGGTTGGAAAGCATACAATTTCAAAAATTCCGTACGACACAAGGGCGTACCCAGGATCTGAAATAGGGGGGGGGGGGGCTGACCAAAAAAAAAACAATGGATTTTGCATTTCTCTTTTTAATTACTAAATTTTGACATAACTCGCTTAATTTTTACTTCAATAACAATTTTCTTGGATTTGTCGCAAATTTATTTAAAACTTGATTTTCAAATTGCTCTCGATTTGATTTAATTAAATCACGATGCACACTCATGAGACATAATCCTGTTAACCTTTCCTCTCTCATGGTACTTCTCAACCAAGTCTTCACTCTTCGAAGAGTACTGAAGGATCGTTCTACAGTGGCCGTGGTGCATGGAATTGACCATATTAGTTAGGTTAAGAAAAATCGGACGCGAAATTTGAAATGGGTTCCTTAACACATTTCAACAAATTTGACAGCAATGTATTTCTTATGGGGGATTCAAAAGAGTGATTTTCAGACGGGAATATCTTGGGTTCTGGGCATTTCTTAGTATTGGAACCTATTGTACATCAAACTTTGAACATATTTCTCTATAATTCATGCTCTAATTGTTTTTTTAGACCTATGAATTAAAAATACAAATGATTTTAATTAAAAGTGTCTGTTTTCGGTGGACGTACGTCGAGTCTAAAACCAGCTGAGAGAAAGTGAGGTTGTGTGTTGTGTTATGATTGTTGGTGAATTGTTTATTTATTTATTTATTCACTAGTTCAGTCATTTATTTTTCAATTTTTTTG